GAAAAGAGATCCTCTGCGTCGGGGAGAGTTTGCTATTTTCCCAGTTGACCCGAAGGCCCAACAGGCTGAGGTGTGAGAGCACCAAATCCCTGTGTTCGCACAACTGATCCTGAGACTGCTTCGTCGAGGTAGTTGAGAATGCGAATGCTCTGTTCTCTCAGGGGAGCAAGGGGTACCCCCGCAAATTACATGCGACCTCTCTGCGACCTCGTACTGATATGCTCGTCCTTCGGATGCGAACCACAGCAATGGTCTGTGATGCGGAAGGGTCGACACAAAGTACGTGTCCTTCAGCTCGACCGCTGCAAACCAATCTCGGGGACGGATGCACCCGAAGATGCGTTCCTGCATCAACATCTTGAACGGTAACCGGTGAAGGGCACGCAGGTCCAAGATTGGTCGTAACCCACCGCCTTTCTTGGGTACAATGAAGTAGGAGCTGTAAACCCCCGTCTTCATATCGGCTGGAGGGACCGGCTCTATCGCATCCTTCTTGGGGGGGCGCCGGGCGACTGAATCGCATAGCCGAGCCTGACAGTTCGAAAGACCCATCGAGACGGGCTGGGTAGCTCAAGCCAGGCTCCCAGACACCACGCAAGTGGCATCAACGGAACTACAGGCGTACCCGCAGTGGGGCAGCGTGGAAGAACGCAGGGACCCGGCCCGGGCGTCTCGTAGCCGGTCCGAGGCGGGGTCTGGGTGTGTGTAACACTGACCTGCGTTCGAGCAGAGGGTATGTGGGCAGTTCGTTGGTTCGTCCTCCCGATCCGCCCACTGCTGCTCACTGGCGAGAGAGGAGGGTGAGTGTGATACGCACTGGATCATTCACAACCCCCCAGAAATAGAGGAATTGCTCTTTGTCGAGTATTTGGGCCCCAAAGTGATAAACAAGAGAACAAATACTTAATTTGTGGCCATAATTTAGACTAAACAAGAGAACAAATACTTAATTCGTGGCCATAATGTAGTCCTAGCATGAAAGATAACTAGCCTATTCTAAATTCGTTGGCTGTGATTGTCTGCATGTCATGATCGGGCTCCGTACAACCGAATATAACCTTAGCCTACCTGTTTATTCATTTATTATGGTAAGTAACTAGCTCACCTTTTGCGGCACCATGTTTGCGTAGCACATCCTCGTGCTTTCTGGCAATGTGCCGCTTCAGATTCCAATATGAATCTTTACTAAATCTCCCCGCACTCCCTCTCAGTTTCTTCTCCCTGCTCATTCTTAACTTACATTTTTTTACCTTACATTTATGTATAAGGCTTGCAACTTCGTTGAAACAATATCTGAACTCCATAACTGCTCTACTATTCTCGATCTCTACAGATTCTCGATCTCGAACAAGCAAATCACCAAACAGCATTCTGGGTTGAGCGAGCGGCGCTGAGCGTTTTGAGCGAGCGGAGCGGAATCTTCAGAATGGTGCTCTGCGCTCTTAAGGAAATATTACCGCTCCGCTCACATGCTCTGGTAGTCAGGAGCAGAATGATGTGATCGCTCGGCTCCGAAGCGAAAAGCTGAATATGCGCTGCATCTGCTGCCTACTTATACTCACGCTGTGATCAGCGGCAGCTGGATGCAATAATCGCATGCCAATGTGTATTGGCTCATTTAGTTTACACTCGAAGTAGATTGGTATCTCTAAGCGAGATCCCAATTTCGTCGGTCATCCGACATGACGTCGAGAGTGACCGACTGAAAGGGAACCAAAATTATACTGCAACCTTTTTTTTTTTTTTTACATAATAATCTGATGGCCTTCACAGGATTTTAGATAAGATCAACAGCCTCTCCAATTAAGTTTCTTCCAAAAAAATCCTTTATAAAATCTAATAACAGTAATATGAGATAATCTGTGAATTTTGAAATATTTGGGTCATATTTCATCTCATATATTGTTTTTAATGTTGCATAATACATTTTTCTGATTTACTCATTTTTGGGTGCTATATGACCCAGAAATATACATTTTATTGTAAGATTTACTATAATACTGCCATGTACATTCATAAGAAATAACAATCATTCATAAAACAAAATATGTTGAGAAAGTTGAGTTGTGGAATCAGTAGTCATGTTTGGCTTGTAATATGATTGTGCTACCCACAATCCCCTGCAACATTGATCTGTCACTCTAGTTTGCTTATCCAGCTTCTCATTCCTGAAATTTGAACTTTGGGACTTTTATATTTTATATTTAATATATTGGGTTTATGTAATTGATACACTTAAAATCTACAAATGTAGACTTTGATCTTTCATTAAGACGCTGATATTGGAGTGTGTTTTGTTTATTTGTGGTGCTTTTGTTTTTGAAGAGTGTGAGAAAGCAGCCAGCTCCTCCTTGTGGCTCTATGTCTTTCTCGGGAACATGCTTCGTGGGGTAGGAGAGACACCCGTCATGCCTCTTGGGTTGTCTTATCTGGATGATTTTTCGAGGGAAGAAAACACTGCTCTTTACATGTGTATGATTGATTACCATTTTCAATCATTATATTATCAATGTTGGCATACATTCAAGCCTTATTAACATCCTGCTAGTTACACTTCATCCCAATTAGATGTCAAAACGCACCAGTTTCACTTTTCCAGTTTAATTTTAATTGTGTATTTTACTTATTGATCATTAATATATGTGTTTGCAGATAATATTATATTTAACTTATATTTACTTAAAGAGAGTACACTTTCATAACTACTTAACATACTGAAGTGCACTTTTAAAAATACACAGTCCTCCATAAAATGTGCTGGACACATCCGAATATTTGGGTTGACGTGTTCTGGAACAGTGTTGTAAATACAACTTAACCACTGATTTCTAGTCATGTCCATTTTTGGAAGACCAAACAAAGTAATTTTGCTTTCACAACGAAACAGCGTCACACACGGTGGCCTAGAGTGAGTGGGGGCAGCCTATAGTGAGCAGAGGCCGGGGGCTAGCGGGAGGAACGGCCGGAGGGTTAGAGTGAGCAGAGGCGGGTGGGCTTGAGAACGGCTCGGCCGGCGATTTCGACGAAGGAGCGTCCGGAAGGACATGTGACGACTCCAGGCTGGACTCCGCTTCATCCACGGTGAAAGCCAATCCGGCAATCCACAGCGCAAAGTTGTAGTATTTCCTCAGCAAACCAGCACGGATCAGCTCCAGGCATGACGAAGCAGATATCGTCCTCTTTTGGAAGGCCAAACAAAGTAGTTTCGCTTTCACTACGAAGCACACAGCGCCTTCACGACATGGCGGCGGCAACAACAATACTACAGCGAGAATAAAAGTTATGCCTTTCTTTGCGTGAACATTTGGGTGGCGTTATGCAAATCTTCCCACATAGCGACGTAGATATGTGGGGGCGTGTTAGAACGAGCCGTTTTAGGAAGGCGTGGCTGACTCTTAACTTTTATAAAGAATATCTCTTTGGATTTGAGACTTTAGTCTTTGCAACTTTACAGATCTTCTTTATGCACCAAGAGCTTGTAACACTCCAAAGAGAAAGGAAAAATTGAAATCGCATCATATGACCCCTTTAAGTGTACTATAAAGTACATTTTAAAACATTATGTTTTAATAATGTTTTGTCATGCTTTAAAGTTCACTCTCTTAACATACTAAAGTACATGCAAAGTACTTGATTATAATTTTAACAGTAGTGTGTTATTTAATATTACATTTAAAGTTCATACATTTTGAATGTCACAAAAGTGTCATTAAATATATTTAAATATATGACATAAGTTTAATGTATATTTTTATATACTTTTTATATGTATACTTTATACACACTTCAATAAAAAATAACCAAATAATGTATTTAGAATTAGTTTTTGTAATATAGAAAATTAAGCCTATTTTTTTAGGATAATTGAATAATTGAGACAATATGACCATACAAACAATAAACCATACAAATAATGTGCAGTCTGAAAAGACTGGTTAGCTTATATTATTCTAGGTGGTGACTCTCATTACAAATGTATAGTGATGCTATATACAATGCTTTTTATATTGTGCAATTTTATTAATCTACATTATTTCAGTAACTAATTTTTTTACATTACGCTAACGCCAATCATTTTCGGTGTAATATGTGTAGGGGGTAATCTATGGTAATATATTTTTTTCAGCATGTTGATAAGAATTGAGAATTAGGACGTGTGTGGGGAGGTGGGGCTTAATTGTCATGAACATAATGAAATACAAAAAATACAAATAAAAATATAATTGAAAATGTGATAAATATTATGCAAAATTTAATTTCTGTCTTTTCATTTTGGTGTGAAATATGACTTGGGCATGTTCTTGACTTCACCCACCTACTCTTTCTCTGATTAAGATTATGTCAGTGTGAATCAGCATTTTTGCATTGATTTTTTCCCCTCCTCAGCTCTCGTACAGACTTTGGGAATAATGGGGCCCGTGTTTGGATTCATGTTAGGATCATTCTGTGCCAAGCTCTATGTGGACATAGGAGCAGTGGACTTAGGTAATGACCTCTACAACCAGTGAAGATAGCAATCCTATTTTTGTTGACCTGATAACGGCTCTTTGCCCTGCACTGATAATACATATGATTATCCCTAGGCCAAATCGGTGATCTAAGATTAACTTTTCATGGTTATAAAAGAAAATAAATAAAACACAAAATGATGATGATATTTTGCACATTTCTAGAAAAAATTCCCAGCAACCTTTAGCCTTTGTACCTTCAGTTTTACTATGTCACAGTTACTTGTTGCATGTGAATTATGTGAAAAGTGGATGTTTGTCTTTTAGTCTAATTGATTGGCTCAGTTCACTTCGACTAAGTAGGTCATAACATATCATATCATATAATAACTCTGCAGTAACACATCATTACCTGAAGTCAGTGTATATCATCATTGTTAATGAATGACATGACTTTATGATAACTAGTTTTCTGTATAACTGGCTGGCTGACCCAGTTTCCCTTTGAAATAAGGGGTCTTCGGTCATACTGTTTGTGAGGATTTCAAATGATACATTCTTTTTACTGATTAATTAACAAAATGCGCATGTCTGTTTTTTTTTTTTTTTTTAAAGATACCATCACCATCAACTACAAAGACTCACGTTGGGTTGGTGCCTGGTGGCTGGGCTTTTTGTTAACTGGTGGTGTGATGCTACTAGCCGGAATTCCCTTTTGGTTCTTTCCCAAGTCTCTTCCAAAGCAGGGCGAGACTGAAACGGAGAAAAAATCAAATGTTTTAGAGGGCGAGCAGGACCGTTTCATTCCTGATAACAACAAACATAGTACTGCTCCCAACAAACCAGCTTCCATGGCAGTTCTGGCTAAAGGTGTTCATTTCATTAAATAATTCATTTTAAATATGTTTATTCATAAGATTTGGTCGAGATATTGAGCATACATGACCCTTGAATTTATGTAAAGCTTCTTCTTGATATGTTCTAGATTTTCTGCCATCACTGAAAAAACTATTCAGCAACACGATTTACCTGCTCCTTGTATGCACCGCTTTTGTGCAAGTCAGTGGTTTTATAGGAATGATCACATTTAAGCCAAAGTTTATGGAGCAAATTTATGGCCAGTCAGCATCGAGGGCCATATTTTTGATAGGTGGGTTTACATTTATTGCATTTATTTTTGTCTGCATTAAATACATTTCCAGTTTGTCTAAAGAAATGTAGTGAGGCCTTTCTACAAAATAAGTGGCAGTTGTGTCCCTCTTATTCATATATGTAAAAAAATTACTTTCACAAAAAATTAGCTGATGCCAACTAAAAAAAGCTGATGACAACCCTATCCTCAACCCTAAGTATCTAAATAACCATTACTACTCTATGTTCGCAAATATACCCATGATATATATATATATATATATATATATATATATATATATATATATATATAT